ACAGGACACCGGGGCACTGCCACGACGCAGTGCCAGAATCGCAGTTCGTGCCCGCCCTGCAGTACCTCCAAGACCGAAGAAACTCAGCAGGCAGACGACTCCAGCAGCATCAAGTACGGCATTGACGGTACAARACGCCACCGGAGATCATCCCGCATACCCAGTCCGAGGAGCCAACGAGCCAGCGACTGATTATCGTGGGCGGCTACTGCCATTTTCAGAAGCCGTAGCTGCCGTCGAGGCCCGGAAGGAGACAGCAGAGGCAGGACGTCAGCGGCTAGCCAATGAAGCGGCAGCCGAAACTCAGCGAACGACTGAGACTGACGCAGCGACACGAGACAGACGGAATGCCAGCAACACGGAGTCCTTGATTGCTTGTGAGCATCAGTGGACGACGATACTCCAAGCCATGATCTTTGTGCCTACAGAAGCACAGGCAGACCCGACACCGGCAGAGGCAGAGAGAAGTAACCTGGCTAACTTGCTGCTGGGCATGATGAGAGGTATTATGTGGAATAATACACTGCTGCAGTCACATCTGTGCACGGACGCGACGCAGCGACAAACATACAAGAATGATATCACTACGTTAACAACTGCTATCCGCACAGAGGCAATACAGCAGCAACAACAGCATCAACTGTTGAATTCCACTATCACACGCGTCAACAGCATAGAGGCTAACGCCTCAGCAGCGCCAGGATGCACGACAGACGTGACGAAGCAACTCAACGAGCGCATCGATCACGTCGTCACCATCATCGGCGACATAAGTACTTTCAATGGACCAGACTCGATCAGCAGCACGGTGGCCGCCATCAAGACGGACATCACCAAGCTACAAACGAGACCGGAAGCCGCTACAAAGACGTTCAAGATGCCGCACTTCGACATCAGCAAGTTCGACGATTACAACAAGTCGGACGCCTTGTCATGGTGGCAACGCTTCCTCACGGAAGCAGCATGCCTCATGGTCCCGGCGGACGACATGTTGAAGGCACTATATCTGCAGCTGATTGGAGGAGTGCAGGGATGGATGAACCACCTAGCGGCTACACACAAGTGCACTATCGCCGAACTCCACACGCACATTACGTGGAAGGAGTTAGAGCAGCTATGGTTCACCCGGTTCATGGTCCGCAACATCGTGAAGGCGGCCATGAATGAGGTGTACACATGCTCTCAAGGGAACATGCCAACTCGAGACTGGACAACGAAGTGGCAAAAGATAGTGACCACTGCAGGTTTGATTTGACGTTTCCAAATCAACGATCCGAGTTCTTCTCGCGATCGTGTGCGGGATTGCGGTCGACACTCGGTAATGAGTACGACTGTACCACATTCCAGGCCATTCTGGATCGAGCGAACTTGGTCATCCAAACAGACGACAGGGCCGCTAACGAGAGACAATCCCAGCCGCACTATGTGGCTAAGCAGACCTATCAACGTCCGACACATAACAATGCCGTATTTTCTGAAGAAATCGATGACCACCACGCTGCAGCAGCATCCTCGAGTGATGGAGGAATTGTCGCAGCGCTCCCGTTGAAGCATCCGAAGAGAGTTCGCAAGAACAAGGCGACACAAGGGACAGCGGCGACGGGAGCTGGGCAGCAGCCATGGACGRCTTATAAGATCACCAAGGAGGTCTATGACCTACGTCAGCAGTACGCATACTGCCTATGGTGCAACAGCATAGTACACAGTACCGCACAATGCCCAGACAAGGGCAAGGCACGCGTACCCCGTCCAACCAACTCGGGAAACTGAGTTACGCAAGGAGAGGGGCGACGTCTCTCCTCACTCCGCCGGACCCGGTTGCCTTGCTAGCAATCGATGTCACTACCGGGGAGCATGCGTTAGTCGCTGATTCTCGTGCTACGTACGAGGATTATGCCGCCCAGCTGGTACCACCATTAGACCAGCCTAGCCACGTGCATGTAGATTGCGTATGCGCAGCCTGTACACCGTCGGCAAGTGATCCGGTCAGTTCGCCACTGATTTCCGAGGACTCGACAGCGTGGTCAAGACTTGGACGTTGTACGAGCACATCGTACACCTTCGCGTTGTTTTGAATCATTTGCGACTAGCCAAGTACAAAGCGAATCTCGACAAGTGCGAATTCGCCAGGCAAGAGCTTGAGTACTTGGGCCATTTTGTCACGCCGAAAGGCATTCGTCCCTTAGCGGACAAGATCCAAGCCATCGTAGATTGGCCGGAACCCCGTTGCACGACGGATGTACGCTCTTTCATGGGTTTGGCTGGATATTATCAGCGATTCGT